CCATTCCTGGAGGGGTGGAGGGGGGGAATGGGTACATACTCAGCCATTTTCACTGGAACAAACCCCTCTATCCTCTATCCCATTTTGCAATATGATGAAAAAAAAATAAAATAAAATATATATATATACATATATATATATATATATATATATATAAAAGTGCGGTGTTTATTATTATGCTATGGCACATATTTTGCATTCGAAAAATTTCCAAGGCGCATGCGCATATTGTTGAGATTTACCCATTTGTTTGGGCTTGGGACAAACAGTGGCATGGTATACTGTATGCGTTACTTTATGTGACAACATACCCTGTTTTTGGCATCCTGAATTTTTTCCAGATCAGTCTCAAGGTCACGACTGGTGCCAGACAGGTTCAGCAGCTGCTGCTTCTGATGTGCAACAATGTTGCTCAGATTCAACCGGCTCTCTTGTAGTTCTTTGAGCTCCTGGTCCCACTCTTTGACCATCTTAAAAACATACATTGTCAGGTTATTACACAACAAATAATGTATACAGACAAAAAACAAAAGTAAAGTATCACCCTCTGTGATTCTTTTATTTTGCGCCGTAAGCCATCATTGATGAGATTTAGCGTTCCCTTCGTAATTAGCTTTTTCGTGCTTCGGGCCAGGGCATCATTGCGCTCGATGATGTTTCCTCTCCTTTCCACGACTATGACACTCTCCTTCACTAGCTGCTCCCGCTGCTTCATCAGCTGATTGAGCTGCCGCTGTTTAGCACATAAAAAACACATTTCAGGTGCAAGAAACTACATTACCATAAATGACAAAAACAAAGCATTAATAGGTTAGCAACACTTATTGTTGACTGATGACACCAGAACCCACACCTTCTTTTATCATTGTATCGTTCTCTCCATCTGGCAATAGCAGCGGCAATCAAAGTGGTTGGTTTTTGTCCTGATTTCTTCAGTGAGGGCGTTTTAATCAAATTAGCGAAATAGGTGTCCATTTCAATTTTCCGTTTTGAGAGGTAAAATATATTCATAAAGCGATTCGTTTAGCTCGATCATATGATTCTTTCCAGTGCTCTCTGCATGGACCGGAAAATCTGTTTTTTTAGCAGTTATATTACAACCAGAAACTCGGCTGCACACAATAAGCAAACCGGCATCCAAAACGTGTTGAGGAACTACGTTTGCTAAGTTTGTCTCCTTCGAGTATCCGTAGCAGAAAGATGGCGGCAAAAGATGTCAGCCTCCTCTAAGGTGAGGCGGGGATCGATCTCACATAAATAGTGATTACTCGACGTAAAATTATATAAACAAAAATGTACCGTGTAATGTAAATTAACAGTGTTTTTTTTTAATGAATGAACATTGAAAAATAAAACATTTCAACACACTGTCCTTTGAAAGAAACATTCCCATTGCAAACAGTTTGTTACGTCAGCCTGAATTACTTTTGGGTTGCAAATGAAGGTCTAAGTTTCTGGTTGTGTTTAAGCCAGCAGAGAAAACATTGCTGGCCTTGACTCACAGGGGCAGTTTGAGAAGATTTAGCCTGAAGGTTTTGTCAGAGGGGCACGATTTTATGTACGCACACACGCTTTCGCTGTCTAATGTCTAATGTTACTGCAAAGAGCCACAAATACATGGGCATCCGGTCCTCGCGCACGCACGCACGTACACACACACACACACACACACACACACACACACACACACACACACACACACACACACACGCAGGTGCCCAACCATGCCCTTGCGCACATATGCACGCACGCCATGATGAGCAGCCGCCGGAACGGCCCCTATTTCCTCCTCCCACCCCTTGCAGTCGACTTGGGACCAGTTCGCTGGCTCCCGGTTGGTTGATTGCGCTTGACGTATTGGGCACCCCTGCCTTAAAATCAGAGGTAATTCCCTGACTGTCAGCGCTTAGCACTATTGTTTGCGAATGAGCGGTGATCCAGTCATCCGATTGGCTGCCCTCTCTGTCAATCATGTATCGGGGTTGCTGATAGGCTGACGTAGTACGTTCTGTGTCTTCAGCGCCGTTGTTTGAATGACATTGCCACCGTCGAGGCGTTTTCGACGCTTGTCGTATGAAAGCCCGGGAGCCGCATTGAACCAGCCAAAGAGCCGCAGGCGGCTCACAAGTCGCGAGTTGGCCACCCCTGCAATATAATATCAATGTTCGGCCATCGGTGTAACATACATCATTATAGCCATTGGGTAGTCAGTGAGCATATATGGGCCCCAGCCCCATCTGACTGTTGGAGCAGACGAAATGACTCAAAACATGCGATGTGATGTTTCACCGTCCTGGGCCACTTGGTTGAACCACAGCAGAAACTGGAGCGTGCAAGAGGCAGTGCTTGTAAGTCTTTGGGTGAATGCAGTCCAGGCAAGACATCAACAGGGAACACCCTCATGGAAGGGTCGCTCCACTGTGCATAGGCACAGTGTAAAGCCCCCCAAGCCCTCCCTGGAACTGCCACTGACACCTGAAAGCATCCTAAGTAGCGCCATCTTGAATTAAGATTATATGAACATTGAGAGTTTTATCAATGAGGACACTTATAACTATATCGATTCAGATTTTCGAGGGAATCACTGTCAAGATGTAATGAGCAGCACTCACATACGTTTTTCAGGAGAACCAGTTCACGTACCTCCATCCGGTGAATGTCATCTTTGGTTATCTGGATGTCTCCATGACCCTCTTCCACAACTAAACGTGTCTCTTTCATAAGCTGAGTCTTCTTTTCCCACAGCATGATCTGTCGCCTGTCAAAAAACACACACGGATGTTTGCATACATTGGTGAATAACGCGTGACTACAGCAAATGCATGTCTACTTGACATGTGAATTCCTATTGAGCAAACGACTGACTCAGCCTCCACTAAACTTCTGAGGAGTTTCTCTTTTTCCCCCCGGGTCTTCTCCAGTTTACACTCCATCTCGATAGATTCCCGCTCTGCCTCCTAATCACATAACATTACAGACAGAGCATTAAAACCACTTGAAGGAGAAAAAAGATTTGTGTCAGACAGAAAGGGTATGCCTTGAGTTTGTGAAGGAAGTCAGTCTCTATCGCAGCGTTCTCCTGCTCCAAAGCATCGCGCAGCTGCGTGTTTTTGCTCACAAGCGTGTTGAGCTTTAGCAGGTCTCTTTGAAGCATCTTATTGCTCTTCTCCACCTCATTCTCCTCACGGTGGACAACTTCAAGATGGCCTGGTCGCGGTTTCGGTGAATATCAGCAGTCATGAATTACATTTTGCAAATTACAAATCTGATTTTATTTGGGAAAAATGTGTCATAAAATGTAACATACGCTCCAGATAAATCTTCTTTTGACAGGTCACAGTGTACTTTGCCTGAAGCTTGTTGTACTCCTTGTTGTATGCCTGAATCTCCAGGGTCAGTCCCACAAGTGTTCCCTGAAGCCTCAGCCACAGCTGCTGATCATTCTTGATTTTTTCCGCTAATTCCTCAGTTTGAGTCTTTATTGCTGCAACTTTGATTTGCAGAGGACTGAAGTCTTCATGCTGTGAAAAGAAGCATGCGCACACACACACGCACATACACACAATTCAGACTATTTGGCAAAGAACATTCTAAAGGGGGGTCATGCTAATTTTCATTAGCCATTATATTCATACTAGTGACATTACCATATACTGTTCATTTTTCAACAACAACTTCTATGAGAAATGAGCCTTTACACAGATCCGATAGGCAGGATCGAATTGAGAGATATTTTGTATTACAATTAGTGTCAATTATACACGGTCAATGGATTATAGTCAACATCCGCAAAAAAAGACATTACAGCAAACGCAATCTCATTCATGTGTGTGTGAAGAAAGGAATGCATTAAAATGCTTGTTGTGTCTGTTAAAAATGAAGGTACAGAGTTCTTGGATGACATACAATGATGTGGCGAGCCAGACCTGGACCCAAGACCTTGAATCTGACACCGGTGTTCCAAATCCTCACAATACATGCTAAACAATCAAGGATTCCTTACCCCAGTGCGAGCTGCAATGAGATCCTTTTTTTTGTTGTAGTTAGCGATAGCAGTCTGTTTCTGTGTGATAAGTGCATCAATGGAGGAACTCTCAGCCTGATTTGATGCGACCACCTTGTTGTACTTGGTGATTTCTTCATCGAGCTCCTTCTGAGATCGGGCCAAGTTTTCCAGTTTCTCGTCAATCACTTTACTTTCCACCTTTGCGGCCATTACTTCACTCTCTAAATGCCACAACTGATAGACCTAATAGGACAGAAGGGATTGTTATGTCAGATTGGTCTGCATCTTTCTTGTCAGCATAAAATGTTCATTTAAAAGTAGAGGGTGATGATTTTAAAGAACAATATACGAGCAGGGAAACAGTATGAAATATCAACCCATGCTAACATACCGACAAGCTATTTTCAAACTGTATGTCAAATTTGACGTTGTTATGGTTGCCTCCTGTGGGCCTGTTAAAAGTGTGAAATCATATCTTTCTTTCTTCTTTAATTGTCTTGCACTTCATGGCGCGTAGAGCCAACCATAGCAACCAGGTCTCTCCATCTGGATCTGTTCTGGGCAAGGTGTTGACTTTGTTCCAGGGTAACATTGCAGGCCCCAAGGTCCAGGGCTATTACGTCCAGCCATCGAGTGCGGGGGGCACCTCTGGATCGTCTCCAGAAATCATATAAAGTACAGTAAATGTATAATTGCCTCAGCATATAACTAGTTAGATGTTAGCCTGCACCCTGACTATTGTCTCTTTTTGCCTGTGTGGGCTTTTAAAAAATAGAGACGACAGAATATAGAATGTAAATAGAATTTTGCCTTGCTGATTGAACACACTAAATTGTCCCTAGGTGTGAGTGCGAGCGTGCATGGTTGTTCGCGCCATCTTGAATTAAGATTATATGAACATTGAGAGTTTTATCAATGAGGACACTTATAACTATATCGATTCAGATTTTCGAGGGAATCACTGTCAAGATGTAATGAGCAGCACTCACATACATTTTTCAGGAGAACCAGTTCACGTACCTCCATCCGGTGAATGTCATCTTTGGTTATCTGGATGTCTCCATGACCCTCTTCCACAACTAAACGTGTCTCTTTCATAAGCTGAGTCTTCTTTTCCCACAGCATGATCTGTCGCCTGTCAAAAAACACACACGGATGTTTGCATACATTGGTGAATAACGCGTGACTACAGCAAATGCATGTCTACTTGACATGTGAATTCCTATTGAGCAAACGACTGACTCAGCCTCCACTAAACTTCTGAGGAGTTTCTCTTTTTCCCCCCGGGTCTTCTCCAGTTTACACTCCATCTCGATAGATTCCCGCTCTGCCTCCTAATCACATAACATTACAGACAGAGCATTAAAACCACTTGAAGGAGAAAAAAGATTTGTGTCAGACAGAAAGGGTATGCCTTGAGTTTGTGAAGGAAGTCAGTCTCTATCGCAGCGTTCTCCTGCTCCAAAGCATCGCGCAGCTGCGTGTTTTTGCTCACAAGCGTGTTGAGCTTTAGCAGGTCTCTTTGAAGCATCTTATTGCTCTTCTCCACCTCATTCTCCTCACGGTGGACAACTTCAAGATGGCCTGGTCGCGGTTTCGGTGAATATCAGCAGTCATGAATTACATTTTGCAAATTACAAATCTGATTTTATTTGGGAAAAATGTGTCATAAAATGTAACATACGCTCCAGATAAATCTTCTTTTGACAGGTCACAGTGTACTTTGCCTGAAGCTTGTTGTACTCCTTGTTGTATGCCTGAATCTCCAGGGTCAGTCCCACAAGTGTTCCCTGAAGCCTCAGCCACAGCTGCTGATCATTCTTGATTTTTTCCGCTAATTCCTCAGTTTGAGTCTTTATTGCTGCAACTTTGATTTGCAGAGGACTGAAGTCTTCATGCTGTGAAAAGAAGCATGCGCACACACACACGCACATACACACAATTCAGACTATTTGGCAAAGAACATTCTAAAGGGGGGTCATGCTAATTTTCATTAGCCATTATATTCATACTAGTGACATTACCATATACTGTTCATTTTTCAACAACAACTTCTATGAGAAATGAGCCTTTACACAGATCCGATAGGCAGGATCGAATTGAGAGATATTTTGTATTACAATTAGTGTCAATTATACACGGTCAATGGATTATAGTCAACATCCGCAAAAAAAGACATTACAGCAAACGCAATCTCATTCATGTGTGTGTGAAGAAAAGAATGCATTAAAATGCTTGTTGTGTCTGTTAAAAATGAAGGTACAGAGTTCTTGGATGACATACAATGATGTGGCGAGCCAGACCTGGACCCAAGACCTTGAATCTGACACCGGTGTTCCAAATCCTCACAATACATGCTAAACAATCAAGGATTCCTTACCCCAGTGCGAGCTGCAATGAGATCCTTTTTTTTGTTGTAGTTAGCGATAGCAGTCTGTTTCTGTGTGATAAGTGCATCAATGGAGGAGCTCTCAGCCTGATTTGATGCGACCACCTTGTTGTACTTGGTGATTTCTTCATCGAGCTCCTTCTGAGATCGGGCCAAGTTTTCCAGTTTCTCGTCAATCACTTTACTTTCCACCTTTGCGGCCATTACTTCACTCTCTAAATGCCACAACTGATAGACCTAATAGGACAGAAGGGATTGTTATGTCAGATTGGTCTGCATCTTTCTTGTCAGCATAAAATGTTCATTTAAAAGTAGAGGGTGATGATTTTAAAGAACAATATACGAGCAGGGAAACAGTATGAAATATCAACCCATGCTAACATACCGACAAGCTATTTTCAAACTGTATGTCAAATTTGACGTTGTTATGGTTGCCTCCTGTGGGCCTGTTAAAAGTGTGAAATCATATCTTTCTTTCTTCTTTAATTGTCTTGCACTTCATGGCGCGTAGAGCCAACCATAGCAACCAGGTCTCTCCATCTGGATCTGTTCTGGGCAAGGTGTTGACTTTGTTCCAGGGTAACATTGCAGGCCCCAAGGTCCAGGGCTATTACGTCCAGCCATCGAGTGCGGGGGGCACCTCTGGATCGTCTCCAGAAATCATATAAAGTACAGTAAATGTATAATTGCCTCAGCATATAACTAGTTAGATGTTAGCCTGCACCCTGACTATTGTCTCTTTTTGCCTGTGTGGGCTTTTAAAAAATAGAGACGACAGAATATAGAATGTAAATAGAATTTTGCCTTGCTGATTGAACACACTAAATTGTCCCTAGGTGTGAGTGCGAGCGTGCATGGTTGTTCGTCTCTGTGTGCCCTGCGATTGGCTGGCAACCGGTTCAGGGTGTCCACCGCCTACTGCCCGGAGACGGCTGGGTTAGGCTCCAGCACCCCCCGTGACCCTAGTGAGGATTAAGCGGTTCAGAAAATGGATGGATGGATGGATAAAAATGAGTTAAACCTTTTTTTTTTAAACCCTTTCAGACTGCGGTTACCACAGTGGACAGCTTATCATGTTATCAGGTTACAGGGTGCGTGAAAGGGTGAAACATAACTGGCCCTGCATTTGTACGATTATCTTTTTAATCCAACTCATTTTTGGATTTTTAATTTTAGAGCCAGAAGTTGAGGAAAAAGATTCGCAAAGCATTTGGCAGTGAAATCCATTTCCAACAATACGTAAAATGATGCAGCCTGAATCTGTTCCAGGGGTCTTGGGTTTGACACCTGTGGTCTAGATTTGATTCAGCTTTTTAACCGGTCATATTTTTGAAATGAAAATTTTGCGGAAGTTTGAACCTCAACATAGAAATCTAACCACGATAGTCCCAATAGCAAAGATCCGTCTTTAAAAGTTTACCTTCTCCTTTTTGAGGGAAGCTTTCTTGTTGGTAAGTCGCTGATAATACTGAGCAGCCTTGTTGTCCATGAACGTCTGCAGCATTTGAGTCATGATGCTGTTTTCTAACTCCAAGTGCTTATCTTTGTTTTTCTCCAACTTTCGTCTCTGATCAGCGACCTCAGCCTGAAGAGTGTTGTCCTCCTACAGAAAGAGAGGAAAGACATTCATTCTGTGGCCGATCAAGTCACAGCTACCTCATTAGAAGTCTTCTGTCAACCTTGGTGAGTTCTGCAAGCATCCGCTCAGTCTGCCCCAGAGCACGGAGGTAGATGCTGTACTCGGCCAGCAGAATTTCATGCTGGCTCTGCTTCTGACTGATCATCTTCTTGGAGACGTCGCAGTCCATATCGGTGCAGTTAAGCAGCATGGTCAAAGTTTCACTTTCCTCCTGTAGCTCAGAGATGGATTTTTTCATACCCTCAATTTCGCTGTCCAGCACGATCACTTGGTGCTCAGCCATGCTGTGGAAAATAGAAAGTACGGGGAGCTGAATGAGAGAAAATGATGCACGGCTTCATTTTTGTGTTTTGTGAGTTTTATTCCTTTTTCACTGCAGAGGAGAGCATCAGTCGCATTTTGCTATGACTGAATGTTTTGTTTTAGTCCCCACTTCAAGGGAATTCCACATGAATAAAATGTTGAAGTCAATTCTGACCGAATAGCCTCCTGCATTGCTCTGAAGTCTTCATCTCGCCTCCTCAAATCCACCAGGCTCCTGTTCCAATGCTGTAAAAGCTGTTTCTGTGACATCGCCAGAGACACCATTTGCATTTCCGCCTGTAGAGGAACGTAAACACACAAGCACACACGAAATGATACAACAATGCCCCACAGGTTGAGTGCATTTTCAGTTTCAAAGATTAACCTCAGAATTTTCTCTGATCTACAATATTAATGACAGAGAGTGAAACACGTTGGCTGATCAAATTAAAATCTTCAACAAATCTTTTGTGAGACATCAGCACATCAATTCGAATACAGTGATCCCTCGCTATATTGTGCTTCATTTATCGCAGCTTTACTACATCACGTTTTTTTCACAAAGTACTGTATTCAGAAAGAAATGCCAAATGACTCAGGGGTTTTGTACATGACTGTACGCATGACTGGTTCCAGCACGGTGTCGACCAACGACAGCCAGAGTGGATCTATCCTGTGAGCTGATTGGCTGCGCATCTTGGCAGCCATACCCAGCATCATCCCTTGTGTCTTGTCACTTTGTTGACTCTGATCAGTGTCTCATCACGCTGTTGACTATCTGATTGTTCGCCTGCCTCTCTCAGGAATACTCTTTTCTGTTGTGTTTGCTACGTGCGCGCTTGAGAGAGAGAGAGAGAGAGAGAGAGAGAGAGAGAGAGAGAGAGAGAGAGCGAGAGAGCG